ATAAGAACTTTACACCAAGACAACAATCGAACCTCAGTAGGAAGGAGTAGGGTTTTCTAAATACTTATCATTGTGTTAAGAAATGGACTGAACAGCCTTGAATTTGTGTGGTGGGATTTTATGAAATTGTCCACTTTTACAGAATCATCCCAAACATCTTGCATACGAATAGATTCGATTCAAGAACTTATCGATGGATCCAACAATGTATCCACTTTATCTAGGAAGTTACTGCTTTGACACATCCTTGGAGACCAGAATAATTTTCTGATGTAGACATACCACCGTCAGCGTCAGTACTTAAGCCACATTACCCCTTTCTTAGCAAAGTAGGAATCAGTAGCATTAAAAATACACGTGTCGTCAAAAAGAAGATAATAAAGCAAACTCACAAATTCATTTCCTTTCAAGTACTAAATATTTGGAAAAATACTTGGATGGAAAAATGTTTACCGTTATTGATCCTCCATATTATCAGAAATTTCAAAATCAATTTTTATCAATCGTGTGATTTTTACCATTTCTAGCGGTACAGTAAGTGATACGATAGGAAGCTTCATTAGTACAACCAAACTTTTAGTATATTGCACTTATTTATATTTTCGAGCAAACCTTCATACTACCATTACACCATTTCTCTGTAAACTACACACTTTGGTCATACTGGAAGCTTGAACTGGACGTTTCATTTCATTAACATGCGACAACTTCTCTTTTAAGAAATAAAAGACAATAACTTCATATTGTGCTCAATTTTTCATAAATAGATTTTATTTGACCATTCGGCTGAGGATGACTGTTTAGTCGAAACCGGTACCGAGGAAATTTAATATAAAAAAAGCAAGAAAGAAGTTATTGTCTTTTATTTCGTAATTATATAAAAATCTTGCAACATGGATTCTATCACAACTTCTCTTTTGGTTGTTCCTCGCAAGAACTGGTACTCGATGATGGAATAGCATCATTTTCTAAATCGATAATTTTTCGTTTGTTATCAGCAGAGCCCGGACAGTTTAGGAAAATTATCCTAAAACGCCTCCCACTCCAGTCTCAATATTCAATCGAAGCGTGCGAAGCTGTCGGATACGTCATACCTTATGTCACAAAATAAATTATAATTAATTTATTAATTATAAATTTAATAAAACCAAAAATGAATAATTCAGTGCGTATTTTTATATTATTTTTATTAATTCAGTAATTAATGTTGCACTGCAAGTTCTTCGCTAAGGTACGCTCATCGCTCTTCGAAATTCAATTTTGAAGAGTAACTTAAAAGGTGTCAAAAGTGACAACAACGTACTTACGTCGTTGTCATGGAATTCATTTCGTGTAGAGGGGCGCACTTTTCCTAAACTGTCCGGGCTCTGGTTATCAGTATCAAATTTTAAACATTGACTCATGTTAAGAAGAAATACTATTTACAGCAATTATAAAACTAGGACACAAAACAATATTAAGAATTTAAGAAAATTGAGAGAATACTTCAAATACTGAGACTAGATGGCGGTGCGAGTAGTTTGTCAAATTATAATTAGTATATTTGGAGTAGACTATACGTTACCTCATATTGCAGGTATAATTCTCCTTTCCAGTTTAAGTAACTCGATAACGTTCGATGACAGTCAAGTATGCATTTTTGCACTTTGGTAAAATATGATTCCACGTCGCAGATGACTAATATATCCGTCGATCCAGGAAAATATTGTCAATCAATTTAACAAAATGTAATGAATACTTAATATGTGAGTCCGTGTTTACTGTATAAATTACTTGGTATAACTCTTACAACTTCGTAACTTGTTTATCCATTGGTTGGGTTGACCATTTTCTTACCTTTGCAGACAATGTAAACCTTCTCCTTCATCATCTGTCAAGTTAGATGTTTATGATTTGGCTGATTTTTACATTCTTGTTACGTCTTGATTGATATATTATACTTCTGAAATCTTGCAAACCTTTACTTCACACATGATTTCTTTTTTTGATACTGAAGTCGGAATGACCGCAAAATTTAATCCCTTAGTACCGTCTTTTTCTCTTCTGTATTTTATGTTGTTATGTCTTGAACTTCTTGAAACGTGGTTTTCAGATTTTCTGGAACTGTCGTTCTGCTTTATCAATGGTTAATAAGATATGCGATATTTTGACATAATCAAGCTGATTAAGGTTTTATAGGCTGTAACTGAGTCGATATGGTACTCTTGCGATTTAAAAATATTAGAAATACTCTATATCTTTGCAGAAAGACGAGGATGACCAGAGAAGCTATAGAAATATATCGCCATAAGAACAACATCAATAGAAAAAACATGGCATAGAGTTCAGCTGTTCCTAAGTTATAATACTGCGCTTGATAAAGCATTGAAAGTTACTTCCCAATGCAAAAATCTCCTAATTGTACCTAATTATCATCCTAATAACCGTCAAATATTTGTTACGTAGTAGCTGACAACCCGTCTATAGGCAGTGTAGACAAATTTTGTGTATTGGAATTTAAATTAATGATATAAGCCAAAACGTGCCATAAAAATGGCAACCTCTCGAAAGAGTTGAGTAGCAAACCTGAAATTTTTACAAGTAATTTGTATTTATTTCAGTAGTAAATCTTAATAATCGAAAAAATATATAAACAATTTATGTCAATAAAATGTCATATCTCCACGATAGTTTAAGCATTGTCTAACTCTGCGAGGCGTGCTTTGAATGAGATGATCAATGCTATCTTGTGGAATCTTAACCCATGCTTGCTGTAGATGACAACGAACTTCCTGCAAGGTGTTTGCTGCTTGGTAAACGCCTTATACAGTGACCCATCGTATTCCACACATGCTCGATCGGGTTTAAATCTGGAGAGCGAGCAGGGCAGGGGAGAATTTACTCCTTCTTCTTCTTACTCCTTCGCTGAATTCTACTCCTTTTTCGTGTAGGGAGTTCCGACAAATGTGGAACCTGTTCGAACATGATGTCAGAGCGTTCTTTTAGCCTGGGTATGGCTAAAAATTGATAAGGCTATAAAATCTCGTAGGTATGCATTCAAACTACTGCGGATAACAAATTTAGGTGACTTATACCCGATATGGCACCCCATACCATAATACCAGGTGTTTGGCCGCCGTAACCTCGAAGGGCAAAATCTAATCTGCACCGCTCATCACGGAATCTTCTTACCCGTCGATCATTTTGCCGCAAACCGAACCGGGATTTGTCGCTAAACATTATGTGATCCCATTCATCGATCCAACGTTGCTTTTCTTGGCACCATAGAAGTTTGGCTCTTTTGTGATGTTAAGTCTCATTTGTCTAAGGCAACGATCTTCACGTTCGTTAGTCGCTCGAGGACGGCCGCTTCCAGGACGAGGATATTGGTTATGTTCTTCAGACCACGCAGTGCATGCTCGAAGCACTGTTGAAGGGTTCCGCTTCAATCTTCGACCAATTCCACGAAACGGAATACTTGCCAAGTTTTTGATGCAGTTTCTAACTTTCCTATTACAAATTGTTGCAAACAACCATATGAAAACTTGCAATTCTTTGTGAATCGATATGATGCATGCATCCAGTTGTTTTATTAAGATTCCAGCTCATCTTTTTCGAGGTGTTGCAATTTTTTCGGCTCATAGTGTATATACTTACTTATTCATAATATGTTCACAGATTCACAATGAAGTACACTGTGTTAATTAATTATCGTAGGCGACGTCATCATTGCAAGTATTCAACCAATATCACAGTATTGGTATTGCAATATGCGATTTGCGTATTGGAATACAATACTGTGATATTGGTTGCATACTTGCAATGATGCCGTCGGGTACGATAATTAATTAATATACTGTATGTTTGAAAATTACAATTACATTAAATATAACTCATTCTAAGTTCCTATTCGAACCACGTATTATGTTATCATCCTAAAATTGTTATTTTTTTCTTTAAAAAAGTATTCATTTGTGGGCAGCTGTAGCTTGCAGAAGTAGCGTCAGTACATTATCCGGCAGTTTCACGAACATATGCAAATACCGGATGGGCGCAGTAGTTGAAACTTGCTTGGAAAGGGGAAAAGTCCAAAAAACCGCTGCTTCCCCCCAAATAAACGAGCCGAAATGCGGCAATTTTCACTTAAAAATTACACACCGGCCCCGGTCTTAATTTCGTATTCGCCCCAGTCACCTCGAATTACCGCACCGGAGCCTCCTCTTCGTAACGAGCCACTCTCCTGTTCACTTTATGGAAACAACAAAGGCCTTGCAACTGCAGTCCTATACACATACTAGACGTAAAAACCGAGCGCAATTATGTCAGTCAAAACAAGCCATGTTAGTTTATAACTTCTATGAGAACTCAGTTTTATTGTGTTATTTTTTTTATGTTTTTCGCAGCAATTAAATATAAATTTTGTGGCAGTATCTCATTAACGCATTTGTTTTCCGTATAAATGCATTTTTTGCGTTAAAGCTTATTACACAAGCCCAACAAAGTGCCCTTATTACGAAGAATATAATTGGGAAATTGAATTTAAGTACCAGGTTTGCATGTAGTCGAACAACAAAAAAAAGCTAAAAACTTTGTATTTTAATAAAACATGGAATTTTCACCAATAAAGAAATTGCAAAAAAAAAAAACATTAAAACTAAAAAGAAAAAATAAGGTTCCAAAAGACGCGTTCAAGATTTCTTCAAGTAACTTCTTCGAAATTTTACATAACAATCACGGGAGTAGAAGCTGCCGAGAGTAAAACGAGAAGTAAAACGACGACGCGATGCGACGAATCTCGCCCGGAAACTCGTAACTTTTACGTCGGACATTGTCTCCGCAGCATAAGGAGGTCGCGTTATGAATTTCACGTTACATTAACCACCAGACTGTTGGCGTCTTGACGCAATTGAAAACGACCGAGCGCCCCGACCCTCTTTTTATCATCTTTCTTTCATTCCACCATATCATTTAACATCATAAAAAGTAGTATTTTCTTCATATTTTATATTTTTCATTTTCAGGTGCTGCAATACCAATAAAACATCTGTCTTTAAGAAGTTTACTACCAGATACCGATCAATTTATGACTTATGAAGGTTCAACAACGCATCCTGGATGTTGGGAAACAACAGTTTGGATAATATTCAATAAACCAATTTATATAACTCACCAAGAGGTATTTTTTTTTAATTTATTCCAATAATACAAGATTAAGTCTTGGATTATGCTACACAAAGCTAGTTTATGACTCAATTGTGGGAAACAATGAAATTTCGAATATCATACGTAATATCAGAAAATCCGATAATCGCTTTATAGAGCACGCACGTGCAAAAATGGCCCACGTATAGTAATGAAATGGTAATCGGCTTAAATAGACACTATTAATCGGTCCTAATTCGGTTAACATCGAATCGCCATTTCCGCATTTATCAATTCCGGTTCGAGTAGCCCTGTGGTGGCTTACTATAGGCCACCACAAGAGCCCGTAGAGAAACTACTTGAACTGATATCCTCTACTAATTGGAGCCCTCTGTATTAGTTCAATAAAGATATTCAATGCTAAGTAGCCCGGCATATTTCACATCAATTTCAATTATTATCAAGTGATTAATACGAAAAAAATGCTTATCTAGTAAGATGTAGTTAGATTAATCATATTATTTTCCACTAAAATTATAATGGTATCTCGAAAATTTATCAGTAATACCTCAAAAATGAAGTTAAAAAGGATAACTTATGTTAGCTAAAATTTTGGTTAAAAGCTTAGTTATCATAGTGACAAGAATTATTTAAATCTATAATTAATATATTTAATCGTCGATTCCCCAATGTTTCTAGTTCTAAGTCTTGTGTTAGTTAGTTCTAGTGCTAGTGTTATAGTAATTATTCAGCGATATATTGTTATATATTTTTATTTTATTACTAGAACTAATACGAGACCAAAAACTAGAAACATTCGGGTTTAGCTGTCTTATTTTATTAACCGTTGGATTGACCAAAAATCTCACCGATACTTTTTTAACAATCAATCAACTTCACGAAGTTTCAAGCTGCTCTCTTTAACGGTTTTAGGTGGAGTGATTGCATTTAACGATACGCATGTTTCACTATTATTGAGAATTCTGTATTTCTGGTAGTGATAGCTTTGAACTTTCGCTATTTTCTGGCAAAATGTATTTATTAGTTTGGTCAAAACGGCATAGCACATTTTAGGAGGCTTCATGCCATTTTGTGTAACACTGTACCTACTACTCATGGACAGTTTTTTAGTTGTACTACATTTTTTAAAAGTTGCCTAGTATTTACCAGGAATGCTGGATATCCATGGTTGTTATAACTTTATTGATTCTCTCAAATGAAGGAAGAACACGAGAAACCCACTGCAAAAAACATGATTATTTCTGGTTTGCCATAAGAATACCCAGTAGAGATCATGGCATGGAGCTCATCTGAACCTGCGTTATAATACTGCACTCAATAAAGATTGAAAGTTACTTCCCAACGCAAGAATCTCCTAATTGTACCTAATTATCATCCTAATCATTGTAAAATATTTGTTACGTAGTAGCTGACAACCCGTCTACAGGCCGTGAAGACAACTTTGAAGAATTGGAATTTAAATTAATGATATACTACGTGCCAAAAAATGAAAACACCTCGAAAGAGCTAAGTCTCAAAGCTGATATTTTTACAAGTAATTTGTATTTATTTCAGTAATAAATCATAATAATTGAAAAAAAAATTCCAACAATTGATATCAATAAAATGTTACATCCCCACGACTGTTTAAGCACTGTCTAACTCTACGAGAGGTTGCTCTGAATGACATGATCAATGCTATCATGTGAAAACTGATCTAGGGTTGCTGTAAATGACGACGAAGTTCCTGCGAGGTGTTTGCTGCTTGGTAAACGACTTATATATATGCACTGATATGAGAATTCTGTGTTTCTGGTAGTGATAGTTTTGAACTTTTGCTATTTTCAGTCAGAATGAAATTATTAGTTTGGTCGAAACGGCATAGCACATTTTAGGAGGCTTCATGCTATTTTGTGCAACACTGTACTACTCATGGATAGTTCTTCTGATCCTAGTTTTTTAGTTGTAGTAAATTTTTTAAAGGTTAGTATTTACCAGGAATGCTGGATCTCCATGTTTTTTATAACTTTATTGATGCTTCCAAATGAAGGAAGAAAACGAAAAACCCACTGCAGAAAACATAATTATTTCTGTTTTGATTATTTTAGGAGCTATTATCTACTTAAAGAAGAACTTAGCGGAACGTATTTCATTACAACCTTTAGAGTATTCATTAACAAGCTAATCGTTCATAGCAGAGGTGCTCAAACTGCCTATATTTGCGATATATCACAAACAACCGTAGTAGCAAGTGATTAGATAGAGAAGAGAGAGAGATAGAGGAAGAAAGGAGTACAAAAGTAGTCTTATGTGTGACATTTTGGCTACTAAGTGATATCAATCTAATTTCTACTACCCCACCACGAAGCAACTTTAAGATGTTGCCTAATACTGAATACATACGGTGTGTTAATTAATTATCGTACATATACGTATGCGTATATCAAATACGCAAATCACGTATTGCCATACCAGTACTGTGATATTGGTTGCATGCTTGCAATGATGACGTCGCGTACGATAATTAATTAACACACTGTACATACCACTCGAGTATGACAATTCAATAATTTGTATACGCCATCTATCAACACTTGATAGTTACGAAGAATAAGAATAATTGTAAATAATTATTATAAGCATGCTGCGTAGTAATAGTAAGATTATGATCATTAAAAAAAATGTACGATAACCTTACGTTGCGACTTAGGTGGGTGATTATGCGTTTATGTTAAAACTTATTCGAAGATACCTTATTAAAATTAATTTAAACTAAAGTTATGTGTGTGTTCATAACGTGTAAAGAAAGCTCCCAAAAGACGTGTTACAAATTCATGTGTGAGGTGAAGGAAAATAGACGAGTCGCGACGCGTTGAGGTGGGAAAAATATGACCTAAAAATATAGTCTTGTGAAACAAACCCTGGGGGTCGATGATAATATCACCTCGTTGAATGATTTTAAAACTTGTGCAAGCAAAGAACTTTATCAAGAAATGATAGAAGAACGTGATTATAGAGAAAGAATTATGAAAGACACTATATATTAAATAGAGCCTTATCATGGTTTCATTCCTAACCAGAATTATTATGAATGCAATCCTTTAAAATATTGAATGAAATGAAAACAATGTTTGATAACGACCCAATACAATGGTGAAATAAATTAATAGATATAAATATAACTTATACTTGATATTAGTTGAAAAAAGAAAATGAATTTACTAGAAAATGTAATCTATGTGGTATTACTTTTGTAAATTAAGCATGACGGTGAAAAGGCAGTAAAAGCTCATCCAAATTCTGTTCGTCATAATCAAATTATATCTGCTCAAAGCAGTCATCAATTGTTAACTAATTTCTTTCCTAAAAAAGATTCTGATGAAAATACTGTCAAACACCAACATAGTTATAACAGTTTTGATTGTACCACTAAATTAAATAATATATTGTTTTATAATTCGATACTTTCAAAACAAATACATTGTGGACGAACAAAAGCGTCTTCTTTGACAGAAAACGTTTTAGGTCCAAAAGCAGTTGAATTTGTTGTATGCGACCTTAAAAGAGATACTCAAATACCTACTTACTTTTCAATATCTTCAGACGCCTCTAATAAAGGCAATATTAAATTGTTTCCACTAATACTCACCTATTTTATGCCATTGGAAGGCATTAAAAATAAAATTTTAGATTTCTATACCGATGATTTTGAATCATCAGAAGCTATTTCTGGTAAAATTCTTGATTGCCTTGAAAAGCATGGCTTGTCACTTAATAATGGTACTGCATATTCAGCAGACAATTATAGCAGTAAATTATGGAAAACACAAATCTGTATATGAAAAATGAAAATATTTTAAAAGCTAATTGTAACTGCCATGTGTACATAATGCCGCAAAATTTGCCTGCAAAAAAATATCATTAGATGTAGAAACATTAGTTCACAAAATATACTCAGAGTTTTCAGTAAGTACAACATTCAGAAGAGAACTGCAAACATGTTTCGATTTTTTTAATATAGAATTTAGGCAGATGATTCGAAATGTACCTACTAGAAGGTTAAGTTTATCCAAGGCTGTAGACGGAATATTATTATCATGGCCTGCCATAAAAGAATATTTTTTGAATCAAGGAGAAGAAAACTGCAATACATTCATCTAGTAGATTATCAAAGCTGATGTACACCGAATGGAAGATACTGTAACAATGGTAGAGATTAATTTATATTTAATTTCACATTTTTTAAAGTTTATGTGCGAATCCATACTTATGTTGCAAAAACGCAAGATCTGTTCCACGGAATTACATAATGTGAAGTATTTAACAAAGGAAAATTGGAAACACGATTAAGAGATAATTTTTTTGGCAGCAAAGTTCATAATTCACTAAAGAATTTTACTTACACTGGAGCGATCTGAGTTTCAATTTTTACAACGATTGAAGATGTCACCAATATCAGACAGTTGTCTGCAAAGCTCTGTCAATTCCGGTTAGTAACGCCTTTGTGGAAAGGGTATTTTCTATCGTTGAATCCATTTGGCGTGGCAACAAAAAAAATATTATTTTCGACAATGAGTTTGATGCTAAGTTCAATCTGAGATAAGTTTGATATTTTTATTTTAAATTGTTTGTGTGTTCTCGAATATATTTTGTGCAAAGTTGTGTGTGCAATATAATAACTTTGATCAAAATCTTTTTTTTTTTTTGGTCGTCGACCCATTTTCTCCGGGTCGATCTCATCTCAATGTTGGTAACCCCAAGTGTTAGCCATTGTTTATGTAATAGATGCTTTTACAAAATATGTCAAACTTTACGCAACTAAAACAACTACTAGCGCTGAACAACAATGAGATACACAACACGTATTGATCGCAATAGATGCACTGGCAAATGATCAAGTGAAGCGAATAAATCGTACAATAACACTAATGAGAGCAAAATTCCTTGATGATAACGTGCAAAAGAAATGATACCAAGTATTACTAGAACTTCAACTCAGTCTAAACAATAGTAGAAATAGTAGTACTGGTGAGACACCCAGTAAACTTCTTTTTGGGTTAAATCAAAGATGAATAGTGCAAGAATACTAATGATATTTGAAACCAAACAAGTAATAAAAGAAGTTAAAAACGAAACCAAAATGATGAACAAATGTTTATAAAGCAGAAGATCGAAACTTACAAATAGGTGCTACCGCATCGAGCTACTTTTTATCAGGTTATGCCGAATTGTGATTCAATAATTTATTGCGCTATCTCTCGACACTTAGCAGTTATTAACAAAAAAGAATAAATGTAAACGATTCCGCATGATGCATAATAGAACTTTCGTTTACCTTATGTTACGACGTATGATGAGGAGATTTCTAAACAGGAAGAAACGTTAGAAACAACATTATTATTTACAGTTTGAGGGAATTTCTAGATAGGTCTTGTGGTGAGCAACCTTATTTACATATGAATTCGGTCCAGGCATTGTTAATAATCTGAATGTTATGAAGATCCTTCATTACATATTCCTTCAAACAAAGCTACACATTCCTCTTAACTCGATCTTCTATCTGTAGCAGGAACGGGTAGAAATGTAATGTTTATTAAGCAATGATCCACGATTTCCTTGTAAGTTTTCTTTTCGGGTTATTCGGGAGCCAATTTATCACATAATGTATCATACGCCTCCGAACCCATGTAATGAAGTAAGTACGGTACCTTGAGTTAATCTTTAACTTAGAAAACGTAGAATGCCACCTCTAACCGTTTTACCCAACGATTCCACTTCGATTTGAAGGTTGAAAACTTTCGGCAACGAAAGCCGACGTAGTGAGTACTTGCATTTGTTGTATGTTTCCAGAATTTCTGGAATCTGTAGCCATCCTTGTAATGTATTTCTTCTGTATTTATTTCTTTTTTATCCTCGTCGCCAATTTGTTGTATACGGGGAGATTGTAGTGAAGACAAATATCTTCTTAATTAACTATTATTTCTTTATTAATTTACATTGGTATTGGTACACAGAATTAAAACTCTATAGTAACCAGATAGTAGTATAAGCGGTTATTGGAGTGAGGTTAGAATTACTTGCCGTTTTCGCCATCTCTTACTCGATCATAAGAAAGATCTACAAAAATCATGCTGTTCATCAGACGCAGAAATAATCCTTGTACCACCATTAGAATCCTCTAGTCCTTCATCTCCATCTAATCGCGACATATTAAAAACAAAATTGGAAATTGCAGGAAGCCATAAAGACGTCATTGTCAAGTGTTCCAAAACCAAAACAATTTTCTTTTGAACAAGTAATTGAAGAAGAAGTGTCGGATTTCGAATACAGAGTTTATTTTCGCCACTTAGTTTCTTAGTTTCAAGTTTTATAGTGCAATAAACAAAATTTGCGTTTTTTATTAATCTTTTATAGTATCAGCAAAAAAAAGTCAATGCCGGGATCCACATTGATTGATACCGAAAACCGGAATTCAAAATTTCTTCCAGTATTTTAAGCTCTAATGCCAAGTTTAAAGCTCTTTGTTTGAATAACTAATAATTTGATTTATTAACAAATTAAAAAGTGTCAACAATGTGTAAAAGTGGAATCTATGTTATCACTTTTGTTTTAATTTTTTTAAATTTCATGAATAATAAGTTTTCTCCGTTAAAATCATTATTATTTTAAAAATGATGAAGAAAAAAATTATAGTGTAACTGATTGTTTTTATTTGTTTTGTTTTAGTTGTACGCTCTTAGAAGGCTTATGCAGGGTTCATTAGAAGCTCCAAAAGCGCCCTTAGGTAACAACGCTCGTCCCGTTCAGCCCCTTCATTACAGGACGATTCGAACGAACATCAATTTCAGAAATAGAGAGGTATTTGGGATTATTTTCAATTTTCTTTCATTTGTTTTGTGATTTATTACTTCGTTATGATTTTTTTTAATTCACCAAATTGGAAACAGTATTGAAGAAAAGTAATAAAATAAAAATTTGTTGTTTAGTTATTAAAATGAGAATGAAATGAATATTAACATTAAATTATCAATTTAAATTAAATTCAATTTCAATTATTACATTTTTCCGTTCAATACTGTGTGTGACACGACAAATTTATTGTAACTTTTCAGGTGTTCGGAAGCCGTCACAACAATACGTCCTATTTAAAGGTAAATTTAAATGAAATTATTCCCAAATAAAAAGAAATAAAACAAAATAAACCGAAAACTATTCCCTTTATTGTAAAGTTTGTTCTTTATAAAGTATTAAAATAAAATAAACCTAAATTAATCCGGACGTAAATTAAACAAAACGTAAATTAAGCTTAAATTGTGATTCAAAAAATGCTTCTATAAACGTGTAGATACGGTTTCGTGATTTAATTATAAGAGTGGGTGGACGAGCGTTTTAATTCCTGTGTATGAGGGATGGAATGATTTTTTTTCTTTCTTGATGTTCTCGTACATAACTAAAAAAAGTATAGGAAAGAAAGAAAGAAAATAACAACCACTACGTTTATAAAACGGTGATTTGCATACATTAGTATGTATAACATAGGAAGCCGTTTTGCAATCGGTCGAATAGTTACAGCTCGTTTGCACGCGAACTCTACTTTATACAAATATAATTAATGTGAAAAGGAATTTTATAATACTCTCAGTATAAATTTTATTTATATATTGGGTTTTATTTTATAGTTATAAAATAAAATTAAAAATTGATGAAATACGTACTTTAAAACAAAATGAAACAAAACATTTTTTTCCTTTTATTATGAAGTTGCATGTTATTCAATTTATATCTTACAAAAAAAAATAGAACGTTCCGAGATGATAAAATTATGATACTATTTGCGTGGATGAAGTAAGTTCTTTGGATGCTCTTTGTTCTGTTAGTGATATTTATTGTCAGCAGCAATTTCATTTGCTAATTGAAACATAAAATTTTTTCTGCATATCTCCTTACCTATGGTTTCCTATCGTAATACTAGCTATACTAATAGTTGAAATGGCAATCTTCTTGATCCCGACTTCACACTATATTTTTTGCCATTTGGTCTGTTATATTTACCCCAAATTTAGATTTATTATACAATTTTCTCGTCTAAGGTAGGCGTTTTTCGCTTTTTCCAATTTTGTGTAATCTCATTTGATCGATACAGTAATTTATATGCGACATTACATTCATATTATAGCGACATGCTTGTAAAAAAATTATCTTTCGTTATGGTTAATCCCTTCATAGTATATGGCGATTCACAACACACTTTGTTTGAGCATCAGATGACAGCCAAAATTTTATTTCGAATTTGTCGGGTTTATTTGGTAAATATTACGTATACCTGCATCTGACTTTAGCTGGGAAAAGTTGCTCATCTATTGTAATGTTTGTACCAAGTATACAGGGTGTTCCATCTCAGACGAGCCACCCCGTATATTTCTTATCCCATAGTGATTGGAAAAGTTTCCCGAAACCCGCAGAATGATTTTGTTTGGGGGACATCTTTTGACGTCATTTGAGGCTTGAACGAGCAACCCCCTAAGAGGGGGTGCTTCAACCCCTCAAAATTGAATAGGGGAGAAGGGTTGAGTGATACTTCATTTGAAAGGTCTTGGAAGCCTCTTTACAACGGTGTATGAAAAACGTAAATTTGATGAACCGTTTTCGCCAAAAATCAATTTTTTAGATCAAATGAGCAACCTTGAATATTTTGGTTATAAATAAAAAAGTTGAATTGTTTTATCATGTTGTTTTATTTATCACAATCAAAAAATCAAATCTGCGTTTTTAAATCAAATGTTCAAATTATCCTCCATTGACTTCCATACAATAATACAATCTTGACTGAAAACCGTCTCTAACATGGTTCAGCATAATTGGAGTTATGTGACGACACTCATTTACAATTCATTGGCGTAGTTCGTCCAAATTTTCAGGCTGAGTCACAAAAATCTTGGACTTAAGATGTCCCCACAAGAAGAAGTCCAGAGGGTTCATGTCAGGAGAACGAGCAGGCTACTCTATAGGACCTCTTCTTCTAATCCAACGACCGGGGTATTGCAAATTGAGGTATTGGCGAACTGGTGCGGCGTAGTGAGGAGGAGCTCCGTCTTGTTGGAAATGCAATTGTTGTTCAAGTAGTAGAGAATCGTTTTCTCATTTTTCTGTTATTAACGGATCAATCACATTTTCCAGAATTTCAAGATAAATTTCGCCATTTAAATTACCAGGAATAAACAGAGGTCCAATTATGTGGTCTCCCAAAATTCCTACCCAAACGTTTAGCTTTTCCGGATGTTGAGTATGACCTTCTCGAAATACATGAGGATTTGTATCGCTCCAAATTCTACAGTTATGCCGGTTAACCTCTCCATTAAGTGAAAAAGTGCATTCGTCAGAAAAGCAAACGTTGTACAAGAAATTTGAGTTATTGTTGTACGCTCGGCCATAATTTCGCAAAACTCTTGCCTTCGATCCAAATCATCATCATTTAATTCCTGAATTAATTTAATTTTGTACGGATGGAACTTGTGTTTATGTAAAATTCTGAAAACGTTAGATTGGCTAATACCGGAAGCTGCAGAAAGTTGTCCTACAGATTGCGTGTTTGGCATAAGTTGGACATGTCCCAAGATCGCCACCGCTGCTCCTTCATCATTCACAATTCCAATGGGTGCCCTTTTTTTATCCATTACTGAACCCGTCTCAACAAATTTTGAAATCAATTCCATTACGTACTTATGGCGAACACTACGTTCAGGATGGTTTTGGTTAAATATCCTTGCAGTCGTAGTAGTAATTCAACAGATTGATTTAAACGTATTATAGCCAGATAAACACCTTCTAAGAACAAACAATGAAGGCAAGATATGGAAATGCTTTGATTTTTTTTTTATTTTTTAGTTTGAGAGAATTTATTATTGTATGGAAGTCAATGGAGGACGATTTGAACATTTGATTTAAAAACGCAGATTTGATTTTTTGATTGTGATAAATAAAACAACATGATAAAACAATTCAATTTTTTTATTTATAACCAAAATATTCAAGGTTGCTCATTTGAGCTAAAAAATTGATTTTTGGCGAAAACGGTTCATCAAATTTACGTTTTTCATACACCGTTGTAAAGAGGCTTCCAAGATCTTTCAAATGAAGTATCACTCAACCCCTCTCCCCTATTCAATTTTGAGGGGTTGAAGCACCCCCTCTTAGGGGGTTGCTCCTTAAAGCCTCAAATGACGTCAAAAGATGTCCCCCAAACAAAATCATTCGACGGGTTTCGGGAAACTTTTCTAATCACTATGGGATAAGAAATATACGGGGTGGCTCGTCTGAGATGGAACACCCGGTATAACAATTTAATGACTGTTTTCAAACTTATTTCATACGGTTGATATTAGTCAATTTATCAAACTTTTGGTGACAGAAAACAATGTTTTTCAAACGCTTTGCTATCGTTGACTCCCATCTATTTTGTGAAATCAAATAAATTTCTGTAAGGGCCCATTTTTTACCCAAAACTCGAGAGACGTGACTCCGTGTAGGATGGAATCCGTGGCTTTCAGTTAGTAGGGAAAATGCGCTAATTGCTTTGTCTTTCATGATTTTTTCATGACTTTTTGTATATCCGGTGGGGCCGGATGTGTCTTTAAATATTTTGTGCAAGAGTAATCACCCAGAAGCTGACCCTTCTTGAATTCCCACCTGGTTTTGGCTACAGTAATTTCATTTTAACTAACTTGTACTACACTCTCAGTTTCACTTTTAGAACTTGAAATCACCCAGCACGTCTTCTATTGCGTACATTCAAAATGTTAACTTTATGAGTGACTTCGTTTTCTCTTGCTTCACTGCCTTCACACTCAGAGAATTCACTATCCTCGATATCAGAGCATTTCATTGATTTCATTTTCACCTTTCGCATTTATTCGTACGCTTTCAATTGTTTACTTACTTTCAAGAGTGGTAAAATATTGCTTTATAATATGAGAAATCAGGTCTTATATTCCAACGACTGTGCTTTACAGAATGACCGTGTGCAAATTACAGTTAATTTTATTGTTTCCTTAGGTATCCCTACAAAAGCGACTATATTATTGCGGAGAGAAAAAAAAGATAACATCAAGAACCAGGTATGAGTAATTTTGGCTGGTGTTTATTATCATTCCCTTCCATTGTAGCACGTTTTCGATATTTGGACATTTGTCCTACAAACAAATCTACCTTAGTACAATATCATCTGCGTATACTAGCACACGCGTGCAAATCGGAGTTAAGTTGTAGTATCCCAATCTCGTCGATCTTGTTGGTTTTTTGATTTGTATTATTATTGTACCCCCACTTAAATTCTAACCTCATTCAGATTTTCTATTCAGTATATTCCTATTTGTTTTTTTGTATATCATCACTTCGTAAGTCTTCGTAGTTTTAAACGTGTACCCAGTAAGCGTACTGGGATTTCACGTAAGTTTTGAACATTAATGTATGCTTTAAGCCGGATATTGAACATTACATTCTGAATTGCAAGACCGATACAAGACCAAATAAATATCGTTGAATAAACGCATACTTAATGACGCAAATAATAATCGGCCAATAGAATAATACACGAAATAAACTGATATAAATTCAGTAAATCGTTCTCATCACAACTTATTAGATTTAGTAAACGAATTTTAACACGAAAAATTATCATTATCTACTGCTATATCATAATAGTTCATAATAGGCGTGAAAGAATTAATTGAAACACGTGCACTTATTGATAATTGAAGCGATAACAATTACCTCTCTGCTAATGTAATTAATTCACAACGTGAATGCCATTGAAAGCACCCTGTAGCCAATAATAATACCCATCGTGAATGCAGCTACCTATCAGGTACCCAAGTAAATAAAATTGACTATAAAACCAAAATACGTTAATTATAAACTGACGCGATTTAATATTAAATGGTATACTAGACGAAATTCAACGATTAAATTAAATGTACACGATCTAATTGCGTAGGGTGTGAAATTTGTTGATGTAAAATCGAATGTATCTAGCAGGGGAGGTCAGTTTGCCGATTGGTGTGGAAAATAACTTTGGCTTGAAAGTCAAACCTAACTTGAACATTGAAACTATTCTAATTTATTGTATTTTTTGAATACAGTTTTAAATCATTAT